GCAAAAATTACTTTAGAAAACTATGTGACTGTTACATACATAGCACCTTGTCCATCTGAACGGACTGTACAAAATCCACTTGATGATGTCATTACCAAACTCCACTTTGCCATTCCTTATTTATTGTCCCTAGTATCCTTGTAAACATAACTGCTTTTCCAATGTAATCTGTGTTTCCCCTTTCTTCGTGTCAAAGTTCTTTCTTAGTACTCCATCCTCTCTTTCCTTGATAATTCAACTGTGCAGTCTTCAGTGCACCCAAATGACGTATGGGCAGACATATAAGTAGTGTTATGCCCACTGTGATACTTGTTTGATTGTTTTTACACATCGATGGCTACACTTGTAATAAGTACAATGGAGCCAGTACAAAGTTAATGCCTGTCACGCCCGTTAACTTTCCTTTGAGTTACGAATATATTTTACGGTCACTATTGCTGTTACTAATGTTTAAAAATTATAATAATCATAATGTTTATAACAAAAATAACACCATCGATTTCATAGCACTAGGTAAAAAAAATTTTTGCCATTAATTCAATCACATAAGGTCACAAGGTCTACTAATGACTCCTTTGGGCTAAGCACTAGCAGAGCATCTATGTTGCAGAGCATTTCCCAAAAACTATAGAAAATGAGCACAGCATTTTCCCACATTTTGATTAATTTTCCCCAGCAGCATATGGGGTTAACTACACAAGGTGCATTTAATGCAATAAAAAGAAAGAAAGAAAGGAAAGAAAGAAGAACCCTATAGAACAGGTAACAGGATGTCACTGAAAAAAATCCTGGACATTCTTTATTCAACATATACTGCCTGTTTATCAAGAACATTTTACAAAAAATAAATCCAAAAACAACAACAAAATATTCACATCATGACACAAATGTTGTATACTCCATATGATACAATTTTTTTTAAAAATCTGATATTCAAAAAATATTCTCCAACATTTTCACAACGTAAAATATACAGCATTTCTCTTTTGGAAAACAAATTCAACACGAGAATGATGATAATCATACATTAATGTTATGGTAACTAACGGATTAAATGTAGGAAATATAAATACATTAATAACTGGAAGACATTACCATAAAAAAACATAATTACCTTGATTCTTAGAAAATAACTGCTACACATTAACTTATGTACTGTACAATGTGAAATACAATATATTTTTTTAGCTGTCAAATACGTGAAAAGTTAGTGTCTTCAAATATTTTATTCAATATTTGAATATCCTTTCATAGTGTGTTGCTTAATATCAAAATAATAGGGTTCATAATTAATTTCATTAACCTATGCATGCAAAGTTCATAAAACACTAACATTTCACAGGGTATCATATAATGGAAATTCAATATTACAAAAATATTCATTTAGAATTTGAAGTCTATGTAAGTCAGCAATATAACAATAAGAATGTATGGCAATATTCTATCACAACAGGCCAATCACTTACAAAACAAATCATGAAACATAAAAAAAATCTGTTCATTTAATCAACATGAAAAGTGACAGTTTATAATTCAAGTCTGAATTATACAGTTTTCAGTAAATTTAAAATTTAACAGATATATTTAAGCAATATATTTTCCTTCATAGCAATCTCTAGATTCAATAATCTAATTCTTTACAATGAATACAGATACACTTGTACCATAACATATATATTAAAAAAAAACTTGCACAAACTGCATACAGCCTTTAGACATGTAAAAAAGAGGAAAACTAGTCATATAATATATCAACAGTACTATTTTCAACAACAAGCTACCAAATAGCAATGAAACAATGAACAGTAATCTGCAAAAGTCCTCCCAGATTTCAAAATTTACAAAACATCATCCAAAGAAAGCCCCATCATATCTGATTCTTTTCTTCTGCCTTTATTCCTCAGTAAAGCCTACTTTCTGCCTCTTTACATACTCTTTGCGAGCGTCCATGTCATCAGCAGGTCGGTTGTACGGAGTCCATACTGGAACCCCGACAAACAGTCTCATGGCCTTGATATAGTTCTGTGAAGGAGGTAAAACATTTACTAAGACAGAAGAAGAAGAAGAAAAAAAAAAAAAAAATTGTTATAAAGAAATAGGAAACAAATGAAAATTAATGACAAAAATAAAAAGGAAATGCCTCGTTTAACAAAAAAATGAAGAAGAGACTGGACAGATAATCTAACTAGTTGACTGATATTTCAAGTAATCATCTAAACAGTAAGCTGTCCTCTTCTTTCATAATACTAATCAATTGAATTTCTTAACACAAAGATTTCAAAACTTGCTTCTTTCTGATGGTAAACTTGAAAAGATGTTTATTACCTTGAATCCTTGATTTTTTTTTTCTTGCAGTTCTAACATGTATACAATTTCATTCAATCTAGTCAATTTAATTAGAACTCTATACATGTAGCTTTACTAAAACTAAAATTAATGTTTAATTGGGGTGTTTGCTATTTTTTTCATTTCAACTCTACAGCCTAGGGAGAGGATGCCAGATACGTTACCAGAAATCACCCACAGTAATAATAAAAGTATCCTACCAATTCCTAGAAACATCTCTCATTCATTTTTTACCTTCTTATCTAAGGTGAATCGGTGATAGATTCCGGCTGGGAGAATCAGGAGGTCTCCAGCTATCACTTCAATCCTGATCCACTTGTCTTCCTTGTCTCGAATGTCAAAATAGCCAGAGCCTTCCAGGATAAAACGAATTTCTTCATCAGTGTGGATGTGTTCCTCGTAAAAGTTTTTGAGCTGAGGGTGATGATTAGGGAAGGGATTAATAGCTAAATGAAGCATAAACTCAGATTCATCAATAAGTTCTTACAACCTATGGCAAAAAGCAAACCACAATTGGATTATAGATATTACAATGTAATTAACCTACTGATGTCCAGTAATCTCCACTAAGGTTTTGTCTCATTAATTCTTTTTATACGTAGATGGTTCCACAGGCACTTAGTCCCCAAGGACTCAGATACTAAGACCAGTCGATCTCACCAACTTATCTCAATCCTCTATTTTAGGTTTATCATAATTATTATCAAGATTATTATCAAGATTATTACTCTTATTAGCAATAACATCATAATATTATTAACCCATTGCCGCCGGGGATGGCATGTATGTACAAACCATGCCCACTGTGAGTCGACTTGTTCGATTGTTTTTACACATAGATGGCTACACTTGTACTAAGTATCCAATGAGCCAATTACGAGTACTGCCTGTCTCGCCCGTTCACCCTTTTCATCGATTAGGAAAATATTTAACGTTATCCTAATTTGCTGTTAAAAATAATACCATCTATATTTATAGCACTAGTAAAAATACGTTTTTTCCCGCCAATTCAAGGAAAGGTGAAATCAGGACTAGTAGAGCCATATATGGACAGATATATTTCACAAAAATATAAAAAATGAGTACTGCATTTCCTCCATCATTTTCCCTGGCGGCAATGGGTTAATAACAACAGTAATAATAATTTAAAAAAAAACTACCACCAATTTCTAGGAAGAGGGTAAACAAGAGGAGTCCCATGTGTAAAAGTATAATAAAACAAAATGTGTGGACAGTCTTGTATAAAAGCATTCCTGGCATTAATAGATTAATGTAGCAAATCAAAGACATAACAAAGCTTCATGTTTGTTTGTAATCACAAAAAAATTCCAAGTTAATGTATGCATCACGCATTATATGAAGCTTTCAAAAAATCAAGGAAAAGCTGATTCCTTGGTGACTAAGCATTTATAGAGCCATCAATGTGTGAAAATAATACACTTTTATTACAGTGGGTATGGTATTGCAGTCTTGCCACTCGTGTTAATTGGGTTAATTCCAGATGTCAGATGGAATTTAACAGATTCAGTTTTTAGAATTTTATTACAACTTCCATTACACTCCATTTCCATTAATTTATAACCCTCCAAAAAATGTTTATACTGTACATGGATACAGAAATCTATCCCAACAGGAACGTACAGCTATTATTCATGAAGCAATGCAAAGTGGGATCTGGAAATTCAAACAACATTCATGAATCCATAAACATGACCGGGAAACCAGTGGGTACTAACCTTTTCTTCGTAATTCGGGAGCTTTTCTGGTGAGACTTCGATGACATCTGAGTAGCAGTAGCTTCGGCTGGATCTAATCTTCTCAAGCTCAGGTTCAAAATTTTTCTCAATCCAACTAGAACAGATTTGCAATATTAGTAATTTGCAAGTAAATGTAAAACTATATCTAACTATTTTTTATCTGGCATATTCCTTTACGAAAAGATCAGACTCCCTGACTGAAAAATGATTTTTGAAATCAGAAATTGTAATTTACAATCATGCTCTAAGAATTGCTTCATCACACAATCTAAGATGAAATTCATGACATCCGTAAACAGGCAATGATTAACCAATATAAGTAATTTCAAAGACTCCAAGGCAAGTGTCTTCAGTGTACCAACCTTCCAGTATAAAACTCCAGTATCAGCACGAAGTTTCTCAAGGGTCACGTATTCTGGGGGGGAAAGGTGATGCTCATTTCTCTGGTCCTCATCACTGCTGTCCATGTACCAAGCACGCACCATCTTGTATTTCTTTCTTTCTAACCTTTGAGAATATAAAATATATAAGAGACTACAGTTTGAATATTTTTTTAAAAGTCTATTCAGGTGATGTGACCTTCACGTCACGGAAATTTCTAGTAGAATGACGAATATGAGAATATACTGTTAGGGAGAGAGAAATGACTTGTGCTGAGTGTACAGAGCTCTTGGAGGAAGGTTAGACTGATTGAACATTTAGGCTCTAGCATTACTCCACATGTAAATGAGGGTGGAATGTACCATCATGAGCCTAGAAGAGCACTAGTTCCAGGGAGGACTCTATTTCCATGCTAAAGTTCCTATACCTGCCCACCATGACCAGTGGTGCAGAATGCATTACAGAAAACTGAATATGAAAATATAAAAAAAGACACTAATAACACAATATATACAAAAGACACTAATAACACATAAAAAAACCCACTAATAACACAACTGTATTATTGTTACTGCACAGAACTGTAGAGAGAGATACAATGGAGTCTGATTATTGAAACTCAACAAATGACAATTATAGACCTCCAAAAACTGCAAACAAGCAAAATATGCTTATGCACAAAAAGGAGATAATAACATTTCAAAGAGGAGGCAAAGTGTTTTGATACCACACCTGAATTTTCACGTGGAATAGACTTACAAACCACACACCTAAGAGGGTTAACACTCAAGTAAGCCTAATGCAAAGATTTTGGTAGATATGCAGGCCACTAGGCACCCAGATCCAATAGGTTATATATCTTCAAAAGACTTATGAGAAATCCCAGTTTGTTATGTACTCTAATCCTGGGAGAATGCTGTGAGATACAATAAGACATATATAATAGGAACATTAAAAAATCTAAAACTAAATCTCACCTGGCAACTGTCCCTTATCTCCCAGACTAATTGGTATGATAAGAAGACATGCAATTTATCACAAATGATATTGAAACATATGACATACATTTTATAAATATGAATGTTTGTATTAATTACACATTTACTTTTTTTAACCTGCAAAATAGTTCTCCTTTGTTTTGAAACTCATTAAAAACCCATTCGCCCATTGGAAGGGGAATACATGCCAGGCCCACTGTAACACAAGTTTATTTATTGTATTTACACACAGATGACTCTACAAGTCTTAATCACCAAATAGCCAGTTATTGGAAACTACCTATACTCACCGTTTTTTACCTTTTCTTTCACTTTTAAGAAAGAGTCTTTTGTATATTTCATTGTTAAATTATTATTGATGTCAGATCGGTAACTTGGGCTGACTGATAGACTCCTTGCGGTCGTTGAGCAACATACACCAAAAACTTCAGGGGACGCAACATAAATCCGGGGGCGAATTGACATGAATGCTAATATAGGTATGCCAATTTACAATCTGTATCATACTCTATTATCAAATGTCAAAGGAATTGGGTATGAGCGATTACTCTTAGGAAACACTACCCTACCCTAATTATATTGCGCTGTGAGCAATATAGAATAAACATGATTACAAAATTATCAGCTTCCTTAGTTCTTCAGTAAATTACCCTTAAAACCCTACTATTTCACCATGGTTGAATAACCCGTACCTGGCCTCAACGATGTTATAGGAAAGACGAGCAACTTTCCACACAAACCAACCCAAGAACACTCAGCCATAACCTGAGTATTTTGTTGTTACAAACACTGTCGAGAGGCCGCTATGGCACTACCGGCTTGGACGAGACGAGAGAATGTAAGCTTTAATTAGATCTTATCAAGCTTAAGTGAACACCGAAGAAATCAAAGCAAACATAATTGCGCAAAGAAAATCATCACCACTGGATTTAACCACAACATCGTTCCATCAAACTGTGTCATCGTAATGTATTTTCTATACTGCTACGCCAGAGGATCTTTGTCTCTGTGCGAAACGCGTTGGGGTTAACGTGTTTTAGCATGGAAATGACGCGGGTGGTGGGCTGGGGAGCGGGCGTGGCGGAGAAGAGGACAGGTTTTTGTTGCCGCTCCCGTGATGACCGCCTGTGTGCCCTTCTGTGTTCGGTGTAAATAACTGGTTGTAAATATAGGAACGACTGTCATGTGAGCTTTGTTCTTTCGTGCCTGCCCGCCCGTGGCGTTTCCCCTTAATGGTGTGTTGTTTTGGGACGGCGTTCTAGTACACGGTGCCTCTTGGAGCTGTTCAGTGTTCACGACCCTGTGGATAACACGCAGGTCTGCCTAGCTGCCTCTTGTGGGTGGCAGGTAGAGAGGCGGCCGCCGGCGTACAATACACATGACCTTTTCCTTATTTACAATTAAGAAGAAGTAGGTCTGAAAATTTTTTCCCTTACAAACCTTGAGGAAAGCAAAATGGGGAACAACATATAAATGCTGACATCTGCATTTACTAACCTTTATTTGATTAGAATTCACAGAAAAAAATGTTAAACAAATCACATAAGAGTTAATACAACAACGGGTAGCTTCTTTCAAGACAAACAGTAGAGACTCAAAAGTATCCTTAAACGGATT